ATATAAAGAACGCAAGAAGCTAGTCACCAAAACACCAAAGAATCCAATTAAAAAGTGGGGTACAGAACTAAATAGATAATTCTCAATAGAGGAATCCAAAATGGCTGAAAGACAATTAAGAAAGTGTTCAACATGCAAAGCCATCAAGGAAATGCAAATCAAAAAAACTCTGAGATACCATCTTGCTCCTGTCAGATGGCTAAAATCAAAAACACCAATGACAATTTGTGCTGGAGAGGATGTGGAGAAAGGGGAACATGCCTCCATTGCTGATGGGAGGGCAAACTCTTAGAGCCATTTTGGAAATAAGTATGGTGGCTCCTCAGGAAAATGGGAATCAGTCTTCCTCAAGATTCAGCAATTCCACTCTTAGGAATAACCCAAAAGATGCACATCTGTACAACAAGGACATCTGTTCAACTATGTTCATAGCAGCATTATTTGTAATAGCCAGAACCTGGAAGCAACCTAGATGTCCCTCACCTGAAAATGGGTAAAGAAAACTTGTTATATTTACACAATTGAGTACTACTCAGCGGGAAAAAAATGGGATTTTTAAATTCCCAGGCAAATGGGTGGAACTAGAGTAATCCACCCTGAGCGACATAGATCAGTCAGAAAAAGACAAGCATGGATATTAGACATAGAGCAAAGTATTACCAGCTTTCAATCCACACCACCAGAGAAGCTAAGAAACAAAGAGGACCCTAAGAAAGACATACATGATCTCTCCTGGAGAAGGACAAAGGGACAAGATCTCCTGAGCAAATTGGGAGCATGGGGAAGGAGAGAGTGAGTTAGGAGAAAGAGATGGGGAGAAGAGGAGGGGAGAGGATGACATGAGGAAGCAGGAAGATTGAGTCAGGGGAAGAAAAGAGGAGAGAAAGAAAAGAGATACCATAATACAGGGAGACATTATAGGTTTAAAGAGAAATATGGCACTAGAGAAACGTCCAGAGATCTACAGGGATGACCCCAACTAACAATCTAAGCAATATTCCAGAGGCTACCTTAAATGCCCTTCCCTGATAATGAGATTGATGACTACCTTATATGCCATCCTAGTAGCTGATTGAAGCAGAAGATACCCACAGCTAAACACTGAGCTGAACTCCTGGAATCCAGTTGCAGAGAGGGAGGAGTGATGAGCAAAGGGGTCAAGACCAGGCTGGAAAGACCCACAGAAACAACTGACCTGAACATGGGGTAGCTCATGGACCCCAGAGTGATAGCTGGGAAACCAGCATATGACTGTTCCAGACCCCCTGAAGGTGGATGTCAGTTAGGAGGCCTCATCAATCTGTAGGGCCTCTGGTAGCAGATCAGTATTTATCCTAGTGTACAAATGAAGTTTGGAAAATCATTCCACATAAAAGGATACTCTATCTTTCAGCGTAGACACACAGGGGAGGGCCTAGGCCCTGTTCCATATGATGTGACAGACTTTGAAGATTCCCCCATGGAAGACCTCACCCTCCCAGAGGAGCAGAAAGGGGATGGAATAGGTGATCTGTGGGAGGAGGGGAGGGAAAGGGAACTGGGATTGACATGTAAAACATGGTTGTTTCTAATTTAAAGAAAAGAAGTGATTAAGACACTACAGAATGATTACCCCTAAAATAATAAGTATGCCTCACCAACTCTCACAAGGCTCCAGGCTGAGTACAGAGTACAGGGAAGAAAGTGTGAGCACCAGAGACAGTGGATGACTACAAGGAAACATTTTGTGTAGGACATCTGCACAATGAACTTACAGTGGATGCAATAGCATGCACAATACCTTTAGAAGCTGAAGACAGACCAAACCACGGCATGCAGGGGAAAATTTAGCATACAGTTCCACCCCTAGCAGTAAAGCTATTGGCAATTGATAGCTGATGGGAAAGGGAGAGTCAGTCCCTGTTCAGTGTACCACACTTCAATGCAAGAAGACACATCTAAGAATATGTGGGCATCACAAATTGGTCATAATGAGTAAAAAAAAAGATGCAAATCTAGGTGGGCAGGAAAAGGAGGCTAGAACAGGAAACAGTTGGGTGAGGGAGGTAAATATTATGAAAACACATTATACGGCATCCTTAAAAAACAAAAAATGAAAATAACTCTGTGGTGAATGAATATGGCATTTTCTCCATCCTTCAGTACAGCTCTTACCCACATATGAATATGAGCTGTGGGCTCTGGGAACCAGTCATTTGTAAACGAGTATTCATGGAGATAGGGCATTCATTCTAACATATTTGAAACACCAATTTAAATGTTGCATTCTCATTGGAATATTTGTATGGTTTTCTCAAAACAAATATTTTCTTGGTTTTGTATTTTCATATAACTTTGTTTCTCCTGTTTGCTTACTGCCATCTACTTCAGATCAAAGTCACTTATACACCTATTTCCTTTTGTACACCTTAGGATTTTTATTTTCTCTTTTTAGAGAACAAAACATCATATATTGTCAATGGTCAGCCAATATAAAAACACTGTAACCTCAAGGAGTGAATTAAATAATGAGTGATACTTGTTTATTAAATGACTGTTAGGGGCTTCAAGTCATTAGAATTCCATGTAACAAAACACAAAATGACTATCATCTTACTACATAATTCTCACTTTTATGCCACCATATAAATGAAAATTCAAGTATATTCCTCACTGATAAATCATAACCTACATAACTGAATATTATTACTGAATTGAATGTATTTTGCTTGTCTGATAATATACAGTACCTACCATGTAAATAAATGCTTAATTATTCTCTAAAACTAAACTTACCTTTAGGTTATACATTCAATTTCCCAGTTCTATTTAAACCATGAACATTCAGGAAGACCATGCCTATAACTAGTAATTAGGCCATAAATTTTGCTAACTCTACTCTCCTTTGCCATGACTGTGTACTTCCTTTTCTTCTTGGAAGGCACTAATATAAACTAAAGTTGGAAAATGAGAAATCTACCCCAGTCTTTGATCTCATTTCCAGTCCTGAGTTAGGAAACTAAAGACATCAAAGACCTATTGGTGTCTCAGAAGAAGAGAATATGTCACTTAAAATTCTTAAAATAAATTTACATTTGTAATGCAAACATTGAAAATTATAACTTATTATTTTGTAGTTTATCAATCACTTTAATTACACAGGCCAGGAAAAACTCAGAAACTTCAGTATACTAATAGCATTATATAGATTCAAGTTGACTCTCCATCACTACACAGGGTGCAGAGCATGCTTCGCTACATCAAAATGAGGAAATTGTATTGTAAATGCTACATGGTCAAAAACAGGAACTACTGTTTTCATTTCATAGTATTAATATAACATCAAATACAGAAGGAAATATTTGTTTCACAGCAATGTACATATTAAGACACAGAAGATTATATCTAGAAAGCAAAATCATTATCTGGTTAGCACTGAGAATTGAGGCACTGTTACATTACTCAAAATATTTTGAGATTCTTTGTGAGAAAGAAGTTTATAGAAAGTCTTGTTTTAAAATTAGTATCCTGAAATATACATGATGTAGCATGTTCGGGTGAAGCACATAATAAATTTATTGTTTCAAATTATTCCTTTATAAAGGACTATTTTCTTAAGCTGGTAAGATTTAAGGCTGAATTTCAGCTTGAGCTCATGGGTTCTGGGACACAGAAGCTAATAGTTCTCTCCTTGTATCCTTGTTTTAATATTTTTAGTCCACTAGTTAGATCAAAACAAAGGTTTTTTATATAATATAGTATAGATGACTAGACAGAATCCTAAAAAGATCAACCCTTTGGACTGGGTCAAATATAGGATCAACCCTTAAGGCTCAATTTCGATAGATTTATGATTTGGACAAAGTAAACTACTCTGTACCTCTATTTCTTTATTAGCAAACTACAAATATTGAACAATCTTCTCAATGTATTTTGGTAGGAATTACATGGCCCAGCAGTGCAGATTTTAAGAATGAATAAAATAAGAATTTTCTATTTATTTCCTGTTAAACTGCACCAATGTTATATAGAAGGAAAATACCACTTGCTGAAAGAAGCTCTCAGACTATAATTCACCAGGAACAATGCAAGTTTACATAAGAGAAGTCAGAGTCATTTTACATACTACATTAATTAAATATTTTCCACTTCCCTCCAAAATATAGTCATAATATTATTTTTACTTCTGGGAGCCTAGAAGTAAAGAGATAAACCTACTCATCTACTTGCTGTATTATTTTGAGTATAATTGTAGAGTAAACTTTGGAGCTGTAGTTCCTGAAACCATCATGCTTGTGTCAGTTATTATTTTTCTCTAAAATTCAATCTTAGTCATTAATTTATTCATCTGTGTATCCACATATGCTAACAGTTACAACCACATACTTCCGAAATGTCAGAAGACTATCATATGACAAAGGTCAAGATACAGTTATCACAGGCTAAAGGAAAAAAAGCAAACAATATGTGATGAAAGGACATATTACTGTACAAGCATCTTTCTTTCTCTTCTGCCTTCCCTTCTTTGACAACTCCCTGTTGTACTGCTTTTAAACAAAGGCATAGTGAATGATGCTCTGAGTCCACCAGAACCACCAGTCAGCTAACCAGGTGGTTTTACAATTGAAAACAATGGCCCAATGAACCTGGAATACCTGCTGTGCCTTTTATTTTGAGAATCATGGAGTAAGAAGTAGAACTGAATTCCATCACAGAAAAACAGTGAAAAGATGGCAGGCATGATGGATAGATAAAAAGAATTGTGTCCATTTAAGGTCATCCTGGGCTATGTAGGGAAAACTTATGTTACAAATAAAAACAGATTTCTAAATGCTTCTAAAAGGGTATTCTGGATTTATAACCTGCAATCGTTTTCGAGTTTGCCTGTACATGCTACAAATAAGTCAAAGACTCTTTCCAAACTATTTCGAATACAATATTCGTGGCTCATTTTACCCCTCTCTTCCATCCTATAATAAAACTGTAGGTGTAGCTTTTTGAGAAAGGCTGAAGGCACTCACCGGTGTTAGAATTAAGGTCATCTGGCTCTGACTCAGTCCCATTTTGGCTTCCATTTCCCTGAAGAGTATTCATTGCCATAAGCTTCATCTTCTGGAGCTTCATTGCCTCAGCCATTGCTGCAGCTGTTATACCTAAACCAGAACCATCAATTTCAAAATGGTAATAATTTCTGAATGACAGTAATCTATGCATAGTTATTTAACAAGAATATGCTGTGTGGTACAGGCAGAAACGTAATTCACATGTGAGCATTGAAATAATGAACATTTGGAAAATATATTTTTAACTTCATAAGGACTTCTTATAATAAATAGTATGAAAATGGATTTGAAAGGGATTAGAATATAGGACTGATCTGCCATTAAGAAGAGAAAAACCAATAAGTAGGCGGTTAAAGATAGCAATTGTTTATTTTATTGATTTTAAGTAAAATATTATTAACTGCAAGAAGAGAAAAATAATCCAAGACTTAAAATGTATGTGTCTAAAAATGAACTTAAGAATATTTGTGAACCTTGTGGTAGACTGAGTCCCATTTTCCTGAGGAACCACCATACTGACTTCCAAAGTGGTTGTGCAAATTGGCACTCCTACCAGCAATGGAGGAGTGTTCCACTCTCTCCACATCCTCTCCAGCATAAACTGTTATTGGTGCTTTGATTTTAGCCATTCTGACAGGAGTAAGATGATATCTCAGAGTTGTTTTGATTTGCATTTCCATGAAGGCTAAAGATGTTGAGCACTTTTTAAAGTGACAATCAGTCATTTTAGACTCCTCTATTGAAAATTCTCTAGTTAGTTCTCTACCCCAAGTTTTAATTAGATCCTTTGGTGTTTTGGGAACTTGCTTCTTGAGGTCTTTGTAAATTTTGGAGAGCATCCCTTTGTCAGATGTGGGGTTAGAGAATATATTTTACTATTCTGTGGGCTGCCTTTTTATCTTGTTGACAATGTCCTTTGCATTAAAGAAGCTTCTCAGTCTCAGGAGGGCCCATTGATTAATTGTCGATCTCATTATCTGTGCTGCTGGTGTTATCTTCAGAAAGCAGTCTCCTGTACCAATTCATTCAAGGGTACCTCCCACTTTCTCTTCTAAGAGGTTCAGTGTGACTAGATTTATGTTGAGGTCTTTGATCCATTTGGACTTAAGTTTTGTGCATGGCGATAGACATGGATCTATCTGTAGTCTTCTATATGCCAACATCCAGTTATGCCAGCACTATTTGTTGAAGATGCTTTCTTTTTTCCACTGTATAATTTTAGCTTCATTGTCAAAAATCAGGTATTCATGGGTTAATATCAGGGTTTTCAATTCGATTCCATTTGTCAACCTGTCTATTTTTTGCCAATACCAAGGTGTTGTCAGGACTATAGCTCTATAATAGAGCTTGAAGTCAGGGATGGTGATGCCTCAAGAAGTTCCTTTACTATAACGGGTTGTTTTGGATATCCTGGATTTTTTGTTTGTCCATATAAAGTTTATTATTGTTCTGACACTGTTATGCATATATCCAAAAGATGTGCGTTCATACAACAAGTACATCTATCTGCTCAACTGTATTCATAGCAGCATTATTTATAATAGCTAGAAGCTGGAAGCAACCTAGATGCCCCTCAGCTGAAGAGTGGATAGAGAAAATGGGGTACATTTACACAATGGAATACTACTCAGCAGAAAAAAATGGAATCTTGAAATTTGAAGGCAAATGGATGGCACTAAAAGAAACAATCCTGAGTGAGGTAACCCAGCCACAACAAGACAAACATGGTATGTACTCACTTATATATGGATTTTAGACATGGATCAGGGGAGTCCCAGCCCACAATCCCACTGCCAGTGAGTCTGGGATGCAGGAAGCTCCCTAAGAGAGATATGCATGGCACTCCAGAAAAGGTGGAATGAGGCAAGATCTCCTGAGCTAATTGGGAGCATGGGGGAGGGGAGATGGAGCCAGGAAGAAGAGAGGGGGAGAAGAGGAACAGAGAGGAGGACATGGGGGAGCAGGAAGTTTGAGTTGGGGGAAGTAAAGTGGACAGCAGGTTGATAGATACTATAATTGAGGGAGTCTTTCTAGGTATGAGGGGAGATCTGGCACTCGTGAGATTTCCAGTGATCTACAAGGATGACAACACTGGCAAACTAAGCAATAGTGGAGAGAATACCTTAAATTCCACTCCCTGATAATGATTTTTACAACTATCTTATATACCATCCTAGAACCTCCATCCAGTGACAGATGGAAGCAGAGGCAGTCACCCACAGCTAAACACTGAACTGATTCCTCATTTCCAAATTGTCTTAGTTAATTATCAATGCCAATGTCCTTACGACTGAGAAGTAACTAGTTAAGGGTTTGGAATGCACTCTTCATAAGTACCAGTGGAAGGCAATCAGACAATTATGAGAATATTCCAGAATCAAAAAGAGTACATAGACAGATATGCCCTATGATAGACCCTTTACAGGAAGACTTTGTAAAAATTAAGAAATATTAATCATTCAATGATGTATAATTGAGATGCAGTGTTATATTATTAGTTATAACTATATTGGCATTAAATTCATTGCTTTCAAATGCTATCAAAAACATTACCTTATTTTTTCCCTCTCCCTTTGCTGTCAAAATTTCATTGAAACTTATGTTTCGAATTACAGAGTTCAATTTTTGTGGACTTTAATTTATATTAAAATTTATAAAAATATAACCAATAGTTACTTCATAAAGGATTATCTCAATGTTAAATTCCCCAAAGTTCTTTACACTAGAGAGTACCATCCTTAGAAAATATATAAAATTAAGGACTATAGTGTGTTCAACTTAAATATAAAAATTAAAAAGCCATTGTAATGAGTAAAGGGGAATTGATTGATTTATTCTGAATGTGTTGAAGACATTCACTGTGAATCTACTTATCAGCTCAACGAGGGAAAGCTGAGAGAAGCCCTGAGGCACAGCCAGCTTCACTCATTTTTACTTGCTTTGCTTAAGCTCCTCTAGCAAATTTTCTAAAGTTAACACCCATAAAGTGACTCTTTATTGACCATCCAAGCTCCACCCACATGACCCCACGTTGACCCCACTCTGACCCCACGTGTCTATCACACGTCATTTTGTTCTTTGTGACCTCACAGTGTACTCTGGAACAGCTATCCAGACATTCAAGTCTGTTCTCCCGCAATATCGCCAGCAGGAGGCCGCTGAGTGCTCCTGTTCTTGAATGCTCTGCGGAGTTGTGCCTCCTAGAGGTTGTTCTGCCGCCTGGCATCACAGCCTCCCAGCAACTCCACCGGATTTTCCAGATCCTGACCCAAAATCTTCAGGTAGAATTGAGGAGCTAAGGTCTCCAGCCCTTGGCTCTCTGCCTGCCTCTGAATTATGCCTTAATAATATCATCTTCTCATCTCTCTCTATACCCTAGGCTCAGCAGAGTCATCACAAGCTGCCACAGAAGATAGTTCAACCTACTATGGAGAAGATTGCACTTAACAGAATTCGGAAGGAGTTGTCTGCCATGAATCAAGATCCCCCGGCCCAGTGTTCTGCAGGGCCGGTAGCAGATGACCTGCTCCACTGGCAAGCAACTATAATGGGTCCAGAAGACAGCCCCTACCAGGGAGGAGTATTTTTCCTCTCAATCCACTTCCCATTCAATTACCCCTACCAGCCCCCCCAAATTTCTTTCATTACCCGAATCTTTCACCCCAACATAAGCAAAAAGGGGAGTATCTGCCTCGACATCTTGAATTCTAAGTGGTCACCGGCACTCACAATTTCCAATGTACTACTTTCTATTTGCTCTCTACTATGCGATCCAAACCCAGATGATCCTCTGGATCCTGAAATTGCGACGATTTACCACACAGATTTAGAGGAGTATAATAAATTAGCTCGGGAGTGGACCCAGAAATATGCCATGTAATTTCAACATGCAATTGCATGATCATAATAATAAACCTTGCGGTTTTCTTTATCTATTGTGTTTCATTTATTACTTTGATTGAAGTTATCCCTCTCCAGTCTTTTCTAGATAAACACTGTACAGTTTTCAGACTAGGGTAACTAGGAGTGGGGTTTGCAGGTGGAAGAGAAGAGGAAGTGAGTGGGATAAGGGCAGATGGGGAGTGAGAGTGGAAGGGCAAAAGGATTGGCTGTGTGGAGGTGAGAGAAGGGCAGATGGCGGGGAGATGGGGGTGAGAGTAAGGAGAGGGGAAGATGGGTGGCATGAGCAAGAGGTAGGGAGAGAGTGAGAAGGATGGATTGTGTGGCACAGAGAGGGTAGGGAAGAGGAGAAGGACAGATGGGCTGGATGTGGAGGTGGAGGTAAAGGTCAGAATGGCTCATGGATTGGGTTTGGGGGACTTGGAAAGTGAGGAAGGATAAATGGACAGGAGTTTGGGAATAAGGGTGAGGAGGACAGATGGATGAAATGTGGGAATGTGGGCTGTGAGTAAGAAGGGCTTGATGCAACATGCTGGAGAGCATGGGAGTTGAGGATCTGGGAAAAGTATCAGATCAGTTTCAGGTTAGAATTTCCTAAACAATCTTTAAATTAGATCTGGAAATAAAAGCAAGACAAAGCTGTGCTAACATTAAGATCTAATGGTAAGCAGTACCACCAACCACTAATGGAGGAAGGTTTTTTTGTTGTTTTTTTTTTTTTGAGAAAACTCATCCACCATGATCAAGTAGGTTTCATCCCAGGGATGCAGGGATGGTTCAAAATAAGAAATTCAGTCAATGTAATCCACAATATAAACAAGTTGAGAAACAAAAAATACATGATCATCTCACCAGATGCTGGGAAATCTTTGACAAAATCCAACACCACATCATAATGAAGGTCTTGGAGAGACTGGGATAATAGGAATATACCTAAACATTATAAAAGTTATATATAGCAACCAACAGCCATCATCAAACTAAATGGACAGAAACTCAATGTGACTCATCTAAGATCAGGAACAAGACAAGGCTGTACACTCTCTTCATACCTCTTCAATATTGTACTTGAATTTCTAGCCAGAGCAATAAGACAACAAAAGGAGATCAAGGGCATAAAATTGGAAAGGAAGAGGTTAAACTTTCATTGTTTCCAGATGATATGATAGTTTA